TTTTTTCTTTATTGTAGCAGTCTGATTTTGCTAAGCGCTATGATAAATAGGCGACATAAGTTACTGGTTTTAAAGTTATGGGCTTTTCAGGTATTAGTTGATGGTTTGCTAATTTAGATCTTCTTACTAATGTTGTTATTATGTGCTCCGGAAAATCATTATTTTTTAATAATATTTTTATTTCATTCTCCATCTCTTTATGGTACGTTTCATCTGATATTTGTAGCATTCGTCGTATACAGCTCATTGCTGTATTCATTATCATCGTCTTGGGGTGTTTAGAATAGAAGTTGATAATTCCTACCGACGATGTTGGCTTCTTGTACCACTTTAACTTTAATTGGTTTCCCCTTTTGATTATAATGGAGTCAAGATATACTAATTTTCCGTCCTCTCCTAGTTCTATTGTGAATTTAATATTTCTGTCAAAAGAATTTAGTGCGCCAAGTATGTTTTGTATTTCATTTTCGTGTATTATAGCAAATAAGTCATCAACATATTTTGTAAGTAATCTCGGTGTTCATCGTAATTTCTTGATCGTGCTATCCAAAAGTTTTTCCATTATTATATCTGCGATGACTGGGGAGGCAGGGGATCCCATCGGCATACCTTTTAATTTTGTGTATATCGTGTCCTTAAATTTGTCGAAGGGTCCAAAGCTTGCACTACCCGTCGAGAATAAGAAATTTCCTATTTTTCAATATATTGCTGAAGGAGAGGACATGATACAGACACTAAAAGACAAAGAACAATAAGAGGAAGCGCGTACCAAATTCTCGTTATTAACAAAAGACCACACAGCAACAAATAGGCAAAGTGCATTGGATTGTGCAATATTAGACACAATGGAGCGAACACGAACATTTCTTAAGAAAACTTACTGACTTAACAACTTACAGAATTCAAAGGCAGGATCCCACATCTAGATTACAAAATAAAAACAACAGTTTAGTGGATAAACTTTTAAAATGGGACTGGTTTCAAAGGCCGAAAGGAACAAACTCACCTCAAACACGGCGTTACCCCCAAGAATTTATGGACTCCCAAAAATACATAAAGAGGGAACACCACTAAGACCGATATGTTCATCCATTGGATCACCGTCTTACAATCTATGTAAATATATTGTAGAAATATTAAAAAACGTAACGGCGAACTCGGAATACAATATAAAGAATACATTGGATTTCAAGGAAAGGATAAACAAAACTTATATTTGTAACGATGAAAAACTAGTTTCTGTTGACGTGGTCTCACTTTTTCCGAGCATACCATAACAACTAGCACTTGACGTAATACGAGAAAAATGGACAATAATAAAAGAGCACACAAAGATACCGCAACAAATATTCATGGAAATGGTAAAATTTTGTATACAAGTAAATAGGTATTTCAAAATTTAAGGACACGATATACACAAAATTAAAAGGTATGCCGATGGGATCCCCTGCCTCCCCAGTCATCGCAGATATAATAATGGAAGAACTTTTGGATAGCACGATCAAGAGATTACGATGAACACCGAGATTACTTACAAAATATGTTGATGACTTATTTGCTATAATACACGAAAATGAAATACAAAACATACTTGGCGCACTAAATTCTTTTGACAGAAAGAGGAAACCAATTAAAGTTAAAGTGGTACAAGAAGCCAACATCGTTGGTAGGAATTATCAACTTATATTCTAAACACCCCAATACGATGATAATAAATACAGCAATGAGCTGTATGCGACGAATGCTACAAATATAAGATGAAACGTACCATAAAGAGATGGAGAATGAATTAAAAATATTATTAAAAATTATGATTTTCCGAGGCACATAATAAAAACATTTGTAAGAAGATCTAAATTAGCAAACCATCAACGAATACCTGAAAAACCTATAACTTTAAAATCAGTAACTTATGTCCCCCATTTATCAAAGCGCTTAGCAAAATCAGACTGCTACAATAAAGAAAAAATAAAAATA